TTTTTTTAATTAACATGGATATTTAATCTGCTATGCGAGCCGACTAATCTCAGGGCAACCATTTGTTTTGCAGATAGCCCGGAGTCATCGTATTTGAACCTCTGTGGTCCCAAAAGGATTTTTATTCCTTATTGGATTTGAACATGTGACCTCCTGGTGGTAACATCACAATTTACTTCTTAATGAATTTGTTTATAGGGATAATTAACTTGTTAGGTTGTTCATTATAAGTTTTGGAATTGTAAGCTTAAAAGTTCTGTTAAGTATTCTTCTACGATAATTATTGGATGACCCAACAAAAACCGAACAGATTCAGTCCAATTATATCTCATCCAAGTATCACAATATAAGCTTAAAAGTTCTGTTAATTATATCCCATCTCGTAAATGCAACCCAACTCCTTACAGGCCTTGAATAACCAGCTAAGAATAATTATAGCAATAATAACGAGTAGAAGTTCTAAACTGTTCCAAGTCGATTGATTGAATTTCTACGGTGACATTGTCTTAACATTAATAATTAATCGCATTTGAATTAGTTTGGACGCATATATTTAGGATTATTTTCGTCAAAATCTTTGTCTAAACCTTAAGACAAGCCTTCAGCATAACACCGTTGGTTTATGAGATGATATACTTGAACAAACAGGTGAATTTTCAAATTTGACAACCACAGTCTGCAGGGTGTGAGCTACAATTCCTTTAGGAATTAGACTCCATGTGAGCACTCTCCTCTTGGAGTCAACCATCTAAGGGGGCGTTTAATTCGTTGGATTTCGTCGGAATCTGATGGAATTGGAATGAACAATTCCGTTGACCAAAATTCCATTCCAATGTTTGGTTACCTATGGAATGGAATTGAATTCCAAACATTTCCTCGTTTAAGGATTTCACCATTCCTTCATAAAAGAGATGAAATTGATATCCATTTCATCCAAAATTTTATAAAAGACAAAAATTCCCTGATTACAACTTAATAACCCTAGGCACACCTTTTCCATTCTCATCTACTGCTTCCAATATCGAACCTGGTTTCTCTTATTTTGAACGACTTGTTTCATCTTCATCATCGATCGAAGACTACAGATACGATTTCTACTAATGATTTTTGCTTCCGATTTTGATTTCTGCATACAATTTCTGCTTACTATTTTCTATTTTTGTACAATTTCTGTTTCCGACTTTTGTTGTGATTTCTGTTACTATTTCTGATTTATGTTACGATTTTGATTTTTGTACCATCTTTGATTTTTGTTCCAAATAAAAATATCCATAAAAATTATAATATGAGAAATTAAACATGTGTACAATTCAGGCATCATTTTTTTATGAATATTTTATTCGTGAAATAATGATCTTTTGTAAACATGTTTAATTTATGATATTATAATTTTTAGTAAACATATTTGGTTAAATTTACAATTTTTAAATGATAAAAATATTAAAATTAAATGTACAATGTTGTAATAGAAATTAGTAATGTTATAATAAAGTAATTTTGAAAGTACAGTGCTATAATAAGAAATGTCATGTCAGTACTATCGTACATGATATGAACAACCTATATGAACGATGAGGTGACAAAGAAACCAAGTATAATGATTATATTTAATTTAAAAGGTTACCTTAATGCTATAAATATTAATAAAACCTGCAAGCCAGCCTCTTCTACCTAGGCCCAGAGTTAGTGACCCAAGTCCAAAAACCAATTAGCCCAAGACTGTTTATCTAATTTTAGAGCCAGCCCCCAATATATCAAAAATTCAGTCCCCAGCTCCCGTACTCGTGATCTCTTCTTCTCTACCCCATAACCTGTTTCAAACCCTTCGTTTAAAGCTTCGATTTGCATGTGATTTTTGGTTCATAATCTAAGCAAACCTCAACTGATCTTTGAAGATTTATTGAAGCAATTCGTCTCAACTAATGTTCCTATTCATAGCCGCATTTAACGTGATTGATTTGTGGCCTCAATTTCTTTCGATTTCGTTCATTATTCTTCAAATTTCTCCTTCCTAACACATCTAACATTTTTATATATCCCATTTGGGCTCACTTGTAGCTTAGCCACGCTGTATCGGTGAGTTACGCTTACCATTCGGTTTAACGCCGCCGCACACGGCGTTTAGTGGTCGACAATAGACATAAATACCATTATCACACGATTTTCGTAAAAGTCGACTCAACACCATCGTAAATGACAATACATTTGTATATGAAGATTAAACATTCGAATCATACCTCAAATCATCGATTAGGTCTCGAACAAGACCCCGAGTTCCAACCTGGCTTCCGCTGCTACTACGCTATCGATTTCAGCATTTCGTCGTAGGGTTTGTTTCTAATGTTTCATTCATTTCGACTGTTATAATATTTTGAGTTGATTATCAAACAGATTTCGTTGCCTTTGATCCACCGAAAGTCACAGTCGCCAGATTTGTATCAGACCTCTGTGTGTTGAGGGGGTGTTTGGAAAACAACTTAATGATTTATTTCGGTGCGGTATCGGTAATAAACATTTTTAATTGTTTGGATAAACAACTTATATCGATATCAAATCAATAATAAATAGTTTTTATAAAAATTAAACTCTTCTGACTTATAATAAGTTGATAAGTGTTTTTGTAAAAAAAATTAAGTGAGTTCCCCTCACATGGAATTAGAATAATCACACGCCAAGGCCTCGAGTTTTCTGTCTTGTTACTTCTAGGCCCCCCATACCTTTACTTTTTAAAATGCCTTTTGTTATTAGCTATTTATGAATAGATAAAAGAGTTGCTTATGATTTTAGTCCTTTTATTTTCAAAATTGCAATTTTTGTCATTTGTATATAATTTATTATTGTTTTTGTCCCTAAACTAAGGAGCTATTTGACATTTGCTGAATGACTTGATACAAAATGATTAAGAGGCTATTATGATATAATGTAAAATAAAATATAATTATTTGGTAATTGTTTACAATGAAATCAGGACGCTAAATGGTTAAGTGAGGTTCATGATACAAAATCATTCTGATGGTTTTAAAAACTATTAAGAGACAATTTTTTTTTGTAAAACAAAATTCATCTTTTAATTATTCAGATGATGTCTCTTAATGAAACTATTAAGAAGTAATGAAACAACCTCCAACTCTGTTACTGCTTTATTGTTAAGTATGAATGACGAAAATAGTAACTTATTAAGTAATTCCAAGTATATGAACATAAAAAGGAAACCAACTTTGAGCTGATTCTTATTTTTTGGGAACTAACTTTCAAAATTATCATTTTTAATGTCTGTAACAAAATTTTCATTTATTTAAATTATATTCCAAACGCCTAATGTTATATATAATATTACATAAATATATCATTTTCATCGCATATTACAAAAAAGCGTAAAGCATTAGCAAATGGAAAGTATCCTACAACCGGAGGTGGATCTTGGAAAAAAAATTCAATGACATGATAATATAATTATCATAATATATAATTAATTTATAGTCATCAAACTCATGTTACAATTTTAATGATTTCTGGTGAGAGCTTCTGTATTTTACCATTTTTAGTCATTAAAACTTGAGTTTAAGTTTCGATATGTTGCGATGGTCTCTCAAATTTTCGACAGCTATGCCCAATAGTAGCACCAAACAAATTATAATGACAACATCATTAAATATAAAAAAAACTTACACTTAGGGACTGTTACCTAATTGCTTACTCGGTAAGTGCTTACCGATAGGAGTCAACACTATGATTTATTTTGATGCGCAAGATTGTAGTACATCAAAACATATTGAATGCAACAATTTACTAGGTAAGAGTTGTCATCCTCACTTACTGGATAAGACTCTCCATCATTCTCATCGCTCTTACCCGGTAAGATTCTTGGTACTTTTCATGTTCATCCGATAAGAAATTTATCCGGTAAGCACTTACCAAGTAAGTGTTTAGTAAACGGTCCCTTACTTACAAGTAGATTTGTCTATGGTTATAACCCTCATGTAAGAATGGGTCTACAGATTATATGATCTTGCAAGACTTCGTTTCTTGTCGTTGCTCCCACGTTGTTTACACGCTTTTGCTTTATAAATTTCTTGTTTGCTGCTAAAAAAAAGACCTGAACAAGCATAAATGCAAGTAATTATATAAAAAGATGGTTTTGTATATTGATTCTTAGGCATTGTTTAACAAACACAAGCTATCTTATTTTTTGAGTAAGTGTTTGGATGCACGTTAGCTAGCTTACAAATTAGCTTATGAGCTAACCTATTGATAAGCTATTTGGAGTAGCTTACGAGGAACATTTTGACAACTTTTCAACTATAACCCCGATTAACATTAATTATTATTATTGATTATAAATAAATATTAATTTATAGTAATTAGAATTAATTAAAAATTAGTAATCAATTTTAGTTATACAATAGATATTAATAATTGTTGTTTATTATTTATAA